CGGCGCTTTTGGGCTTGGGGGGTGTTAGGGGCCGGGGCGAAGGGCTTCGGAGGGGCTTTGGGGTTTGGGTTCCGGCTGAAGATCGAGTCTTGAGGTGCAGAACTGTCTTGGGGCCTGGTGATGTGCACCTGTGTATACAGATAGATAGATCGACAGATAGTTCGTCGATCGACGGATAGGTCGATAGATTGATACATAGTTCGGTAGCTAGGTCTAGGTAGACAGGTAGTCCGACAGATAGATAGATGATAGATAGCTAGATAGATAGACGGATAGTTAGATAGATAGATGGATCGACAGATAGGTAGAAAGCTAGCTCGACAGGTAGACAGATGGACAGACAGATGGGTCGATAGGTGGACAAACAAGAAAGATAGGTAGATAGATAGACAGAGCGACGGAGTCGATAGGTGGACCAAAAAGAAAGATAGGTAGATAGATAGATAGAGCGACGGGTAGAGAGAGAGAGAGAGAGAGAGAGAGAGAGAGAGAGAGAGAGAGGGAGGGAGATATATATATATATATATATAGACATATGGCTAGATGTATAACGACAGAGCGAGAGAGAGAGAGAGAGAGAGAGAGAGAGAGAGAGAGAGAGAGAAAGGGAGATAGAAACAATGTTACACAGCTGCAGGTGAGATTCGATGTCGGATGCTTGTGCGTAAGAGAAGTGTCATGTCTAGGCTCTGCGAAGCCAAGCAAGGAATCCTTCAGTTCGCAGATTGTGCATTTGGTGGATACAACCTACGTCCGAGAAGCAACAGCTTCAACTCAACTCGAACCTCGAAATCTTGGAAGACTACATATACTCTTGGTCTCAAACCCTTCCATGAGAAACTGTAGCAACCACTAACGGTGTCCCTTCAGAATCCTCGAATGCTTGCTGATTTACATAAAGTAAAAGCCAGAAAGTTGGAATAACATTATCCTAAACCCTTAATGGTAAATTATAGGGCATCCTACCATGAAACCATATTCCAACTTTCTGGAGTTCCCTTTAAGTCCCACGATCGATATCCCTGTGAAGGTGCCAAGTACACACTCTTTGAGGACATGTGGCGGCTTGGCTTAGGGTTTAGGGTTTAGGGTTTAGGTTTTACGGTTTAGGGTTTAGGGCCCTAAACGCTAAACCCTTTCCTCTACGAGGACGACGACGATTCCTACTGCTACGGTTTAGGGTTTAGGGTTTAGGGGCATGCCAATCCAAGCTCTGGGTGGAAGGGTATACATTTCAGGTGCATGTTGAGGTTTGTAGTCTGCTTCTCGGGGCAAGGAGTTAGAGAAGTGTGTGGGGCCCCCCGAAGCAAAGGGCACCGGCGATTTCACGGAGCTGTGCTGATACTATGGGTGGCATCATCCGCTTGCTGATTGTTTGCTCTTGTTATCACTGGACTGCTGCTGCTTTTTCTGACTACAGATTTTGTCACGTTGAACATGAGGTTCTGCATTTCGAAGGGCCATGCTCGACAGCTAAAAGGACTTTGCCAGGCACCTCGTGATCCGAGAGGTGCCTGGTCCCTGCAACATGTTCAGGTCATTGGGTGTTGCACTGCGCCTGCATCTAAGGAAGCTGATGAATACCAACGCCGCTTGCCTGCAGTGCATCAGTTAGGCCTTTATTCCATCACCTGGCCTTAGGGCTTGTAGCAGGACATGGGTTTAGTGTTTAGGGTTTAGGATCTTGGGGTGGGTAGCCCCTCGCGCGACAAGTGTGTAACAGGAGTTGGGTTTAGCGACCACCTCTTCGAGGGAAGGAGCGCGACAAAGCTCGCTTCGTAAATCGATGTATATTACTGTTTCTTATACTCATACATAATTGGCCGAATAGCCCCACGACGAAGGTTTTTTACAAAGCTGGCGGCCTTTAAACAAACAACTTCTGCCTCTGGCTTTCTGGCTCTCTCTCTCTCTCTCTCCCTCTCTCTCGCTCTCTTCCTCCCTTCCTCCCTTCCTCCCCTCCTCCCTCCCTCCCTCCCTCCCTCCCGCCCCCGCTCTCTCTCTCTCTCTCTCTCTCTCTCTCTCGCTCTCTCTCTCTCTCTCTCTCTCTCTCTCTCTTTCTCTCTTTCTATGTATCTATCTATCTGTCTGTCAGTCTATAGACATACATTACGGGGGACAAAAACTTCAGGGATATTATTAGCATAAGCGCTCTACAGGGATATCCTCCCAACCTCTGGGTATCCTTGTCCTGACTCTTGCTTATGTGCTTGTTTAGGGCCCCTAATGTCCAGATACATATATGCATATGTGCATAGGTTTTCAAGCGCAACCGAGCCTTTCTTCAGCAAGGCCTGCGCACAATCCCAACCCGCCAAACCACCAACACGTAGGACCTACCTGGAGGTTAGGATCACTTTTACACGTCCCTGATGCTCCTAGAGTACTGCAGGGTTGCTTTTTTCATAAATAGCTACGGGTTAAGGGAACCCTAAACCCGCAACTTTTTTCAACTAGAATTCGGGTTTCTCTGGGGTTTCGGGTTTCGGGTTCAGGGAGAGAGCTTCCGGCATCAAGACTGTTAGAGGTCCATCCTAGACTGTAGGGTTTAGGGCCTTTAGGGTTTAGGCGGTTTAGGGTCCCACGGAGCCGCCATCTTAAGCTACACCCAAAACTCAAAGAGGCTGCGCCTCCGGTTTCCTAAACAATGGGTTTCTGGGTTACACCATGCATGAGCAGGACCTTAAGATTTAGGTAGTTAAACCCTTAACCCTAACGTGAGGCCTAAGGTTTGTGGCTCCTACGACCCCATACCCGGCCTCGGCTTCGCTCAAGAGCCTCATGAGGATGTGCTCAGCACCACAGCGAGGGCACGCTATGGTATTGACAACATGAAGGCGAGAAGACTTTCAGAATTTTTGTGGGAGCCTTTTTCTCAGGCTATGTAGTCTAACAGGCGGCGCGCTTTCGGGGCTTTGCATCCTCAGTCCTATACCGCAAGCTCTCAGTTTAACCGATCAACCTTGAGAGTTGAGGTTGTAGAGGCAGAATTGTCTGCACATCTGAAGGTAGGTGTTGTAGAGATTGGCTTGCTCCTGGGTCCGGTGATGCAGCCACGAGCTTAAAGGGAGCCGAGAATAGTCAGGTTCGTAGATGTGTTTTTGCCAGATTCATGTACTTAATTATGCTTGCCTGTCTCTCTGTCTGTGGCTGGCTGTCTGTCTGTCGGTAAGCATGTATGCATGCATGCATGTACGTATGTTTTAATATTTGTGTATGTACCTGTGTCCATACGAACGCGGTATGTATGTATGCATGCATGCTGTATGTATGCATGCGCGGAATGCATGCATGCATTCGTATATGTACGTACGAATGCCTGTATGCGTATATGCATGTACACATGTATGCATGTGTGCATGTGTGGATGTATGTATATAGTATGTGTGCATGTATGCATGGATGGATGCAGGGATGGATGGATGGGCTTCGTGCGTCGGGCCGTCCACCTGTGCCTCTTCATATGTGTATGTGTATACTCCCTTTCCCCTAATATTAAACGCCCCCCCCCCCCCCCGCTTAATATGATATTTAATTTCCGGGATGTTAATTTAATATTAGGGGGGGTTTCGGTGCATCCGGGTGTGAGTCAGTCGGGATGACAGGACTTCGTCAGCACAGTCAGAGAAGTCAACAGCGACCAATTTCCTGCACAGCCAAGCCCTAAAGCTTTAGCCATGAGCCCTAAACCCTTAAACCCTAAAGCTCTGGTCTCTTCTGTTTGAATAGTACAGCTGTAATCTTTGGCTATTTTCAAACTCATACAATCCTAGCCCCCCCCCCCCCCCCCCGAAAGTTTTTAATTAACTTTCAATTGTGGGCCCGAAATCGCGAAATCCTGGCGGCGAGTTAATTTAATTGTAGGGGGGGTAATAATTGTGGGAAGGGATTATGCGAATAATTGAGTACAAGCATATGTACTTACATATATACGTACGCACATACATGCACATGTACATATACATACGCCATGTACACATGTACGTATGCATGCGTATCTATATATATATATATGCATATATATATATATATATATATGCTCGAAGGTATATGCGGTTGCTTCAAGCGAGTTTCACGCCAGCTATATGTCAGGAATGAAGTTGTCCCCCACCTTGCCAGTATAATCTAATCTAGTTGGCGGGCGTCTACCTGATAAGGCTACGTACACACATAAAATAGTACTAGTTTATATATATATATATACAGTTACAATCAATTCATCACAGCAGCCTCAAGAGCGTCAATGGGCATATTTGCCAACCCATCTGTCAAAGTCTTATGGTTCTACCCATGGTGCAGGTGCCAATTGCGTCGGCTACCGTCGCCCCCATTGCCGACAGCGACTTTACTGGCATGGTCCTCCCGAGCTATGCAGCTGGGCCTTGAATTCTGTTGCGTTACCCTAAGTTTAGGGTTTAGGGTTTAGGGTAAGGGTCCATGTACCCCAATAGTATATACATATACATTGGCCTTAAAGTAGTCCCTGTATAGGTAGCTTGGGGCCAAAGGGTATACTGTTCGGGTAAATGGACCCTTAGGATTATGGTTTGTGAGTGCTCAGGCGCACGCGAGGAATTGAGCAACATTCATCTAGTCAATGGCCATGTGGCAGCTGGGGACAGCTCCTTTTCATTCTTATGAAACCTTGAAACCTCAGTCACCAATCCATAGACTCCCCCATCCCAAATCCTGAGAAATGACGCTAGGCAGAGCAGGCCACAGTTCGATTTCCAAGGTCAGGAATCAAGACAGTATTAGCAGACTTATTGCGAGATCTGCGATAGCGAATCTGACGATGGTGCTGCCATGGATGCGCTTGCTCTTCGAATAGCTCATGATAGGCTGGTTAATGTGCGGCCAGGAATCACTACTTGGAGGCCTCAAAAGGTGGGATGAAGGTAGGTAGGGGGAACGGTCCCGTATGTCCATAACACGGACTACCGTACCTACCTTCATCCCACACTTGGAGACCTTTGTAAGTACTCGCTATTCTTGCCAAAATGCGGTATTGTGCCCAGGGCACCTTCTTCTTCGACGCCCTGTACACCTTGGCGGTGGCGTTTCTTGGGCTCGAATCAAGTTCATGAGGATCCGAAAGCTTTAAGCTCTTGTCTGAAACTCAGTGGGGATTACTAATTAGGGGCCTAAGCAATTACCTATAGCATTTTGGGGGCTCCTTATTATAGTTGTAGTGTAATGGGCCCCAAAACCCTGTTCTATTTATTCAGGCCCCTCTACTACGGGATAACCCAACCTTTTGGGTTTCGTTTAGATTGATTTCAGGCCCCTGGTTCAAGCGGTTTTTTTCAGACAGAATTACTTGGAGGTTCATGGGTTGGGTTTAGGGTTTAGGGTTTAGGGTTTAGGGTTTAGGGTTTAGGGTTTAGGGTTATATGTAGGATACCTATGGTCTACCGAAATTAGGGGACTTATAACCCCACTTCTAACCCATGAACTTCCAAGTAGACCCTAAACCCCTACCGATGTAGAATCCCTATAGATCCCTTAAAGGGAACCTTAAAGGAAGCCTTATATATAACTTCCCATGAACCTCCAAGCAGTGTCGCCCATATCTCTCACTTATAGGAAAGGGCGAGGGTTCTCCCCAACCGGGCTGCCGGCGCCCTCGAAGTAAACTGCCGTTTAGGGTTTAGGGTTGAGGGTTTGGAGTATGTGCATATCAGTATCACTTTCAGTATCCATATTCGTATTCGTATTTTTATTGGCAGTCGTATTGGTGTTGGTTTAGTCGTATTGGTGGTGCTAGTTTTAGCACCACCATTAGCAGTTGCCAGCACTAGTACCAGTTTTCATTGGTGTGCGTATGAGTATGACTACGAGTAATGATCAGTATTCATCTAGGTGCTGGCGCTCTATTCGTGCTAGTTGTGGTAGTAGTGGTGGTGGTACTTAGTAGTTTCGGGAAGCATTGTCGCCGTGCTCCTGAATGCTGCCAGTACATTGGGGCAAGCATGGCGGTCGTGTCTCTGAAGCCGCCAGTAAAAGGCCATGCTCTTGAATCCCGCCAGCACATAGGGGAAGAAACTCAATCGCGCCTCTGAACCCCGCCAGTACATGGGGCAAAGCATCTTGGCCGTGTGTCCTGGTGGTCTGCGTTGGTCTCTTGGTGGTCGTGGTGGTGGACGGTCCTGATCTCATGGTGGTTGTGGTAGCGTTGGGTGGTCGTGGTCGTCATGGTCGTCGTGGTGCTTAGCTTGAGCTTTGGTATTAGGACTAGCTCTAATACTAGTTTTAGTATCAGTATTCGTACTGGTACTCGTTATGATTCTAGCCCAAGTACTAGTACTAGCAGTCTCTATAACAGTATCAGCACAGTTACCAGACTTGTTATCATGGGTACTGGTCGTAGTATTAGTCTTTGTCAGTCCTTTTGTTAGTCTCAGTCTATGTCTTAGTGCTAGTATTCGTGGCAGTTTTCCAGCTTTTGTGTTTGTTTTGTACCTGCTTATTCGCCCGTGTATGCGTGTTCGTTTTCGTCCTAGTATTCTGTTCAGTACTTGTATTGTTGTTAGCACGAGCAGCATTTCTTGGGGAACTGTGCAACGTTAAACTCCATCATCTGATCCATGCAAGGTGCAACCGGCTTTTGAGCCAGGCACGGAGCATTACCCTAACCCTGAATAGCCTACCTTTTAGGGATCCTTAGTATGATTTCCTTATATAATATATAGGTTCTTAAGAAGGTAGGTCATTCCGGGTTAAGGTAGGGCTTAGAGCTCTTGAGAGTGCGCCTTCCGTGCGATGCCGGGGCAGGGGGGTGAAAGGGTGTCGGATTTTGAGTTCGGGTTCAATGTCCAGGGTGTGCTTTGTGTCTGGACCGTGCGTGACCCCGAGAGCCCAATACCCCTTGATTCAGGAATATAGCTGAAATCATAATATGAAGCCCTATACGATGTAAGCCATATTCCTTAATTCAGGGGTATTGGGCTCTCTGGGGAATGCATGACGATGTATGCGATAGGGATTCCTTGCCAATCATCACTGTAACTGTAATGGGTGTCAGCAGTGTCAGAGACATTCTGCACGTAGAGCATGATCAATGCCGCACAGGCTCACGGCAGTGCTAATCTAAATCCAGAAAACTCGCAGCTGCAAACAGTGCAGGGCTCAGGCTCTAGACAGAGAGCTTCTGTGCCTCTGCAGACGGTTCTTGAACTCTTCCCATGAGTGTTTCACACGCGCAGGTAGAACCTCAAGGTGAGCTCTGTGTTTGGGGCTCGCGAAATCATAGTAGAGAACACTGGTAACGCCTTCGTATCTTTCTAGCAACTTCGAGCTCGAGGAAGATTGCTCCAACATCTCCTGTAACGTTGCAACGCCCTCAACACGCAATTTTCAAGCGAATCCGCCCCCCCCCCCCCTCCCCCCCCATGTTCTGCCTGGGTCTATCTTTCTTCGGAATGCCTAAGAGCCATGAATCCCCACCCTTCCTGGCACCGGGCAGGGAAATGCCATTGCCGACCTCAAGGGCGCACCTTTGCTGCAAAAACGCTGGTTTTGGGGGCAGGTTTCGGTCTCGGAGCGCTTTCGGGATTCAGGATTTAGGGTTTAGGGGTTTAGGGTTTAGGGTTTAGGGGTTTAGGGTTTAGGGTTTAGGGTTTCGGGTTGGGTGGGTTCGAAACAAGTGTAGTTCTCTGCTTTCCGCTCCTTTTTAGGGAATACAGGTGCCGTATTAATGTTGGGACCTGAAAAGGGGCTTTGATTTATAGTGAAGCCCAGAAAGTTGGAACATGGGTTTAGGATGATTAGTGCTTGGATTCCCTCAACTTCACTTTAGGGACATTCGGCTGCTAAGGTTCCAACTTTCTGGCTTCTACCCTAGAACTACCCGACTGGAAGGAGTGAATGCCAGCCCCATGCCCGGGGTACACCCGAAATCTTGAACCCATTCTGGGCTCCTGAGTAGTAGGGTTTAGGGGTTACAGTTTAGGGTTTAGGGTTACACTTTTGCAATTTGTTGTTTTAGTAGGGAAAAGGCTACCTTTATAATCGCTACTCAGGAACTAGCATTTTGTGGCTTTCACTCAGGCTGCGTGGCTTGTCTTCTCGCTTGTCTCGACTGTTCCGGGTTTAGGCTTAGCGTTTGGGGTTTGCGGTTTGGGGGTTAGGGGTTATGGTTTGGGGTTTAGGTTTTTTTGGTGGTTTTGGGGTTTAGGTTTTTAGGGGTTTAGGGGTTTTGGGGTTTTGGGGTTTAGGAGTTTAGGTTTTTAGGGTTTTTGGGGTTTAGGGTTGAGGGGCTTTTGGGTTTACAGTAGAGCCCGGGGTTTTTGAGCCAGGGGCCGCCTCTGGTTTTGGTTTTAAAGGTTTAGGGTTTGGGGTTAGGCTGTTTAGGGTTTAGGGATTTAGGGTTTTGTGTATGGGGTTTCGGGTTTAGAGTTTAATTAGGGTGTAGGGTTTAATAAGCTGTGCCTCGGGGATTTAGCCCACGGTTGCAGCCCTGAAGCTCTAAACCCGAAGCACCGCGGGTCCCACAGGTGTCACAGGTCGGAAGCATAATCAGGGCATCTTGGGTTTAGGGATTTAGGGTTGATGGCTTAAGGTTTAGGGTTTACCCACAAGCTTCTTCAGGGATTTGGAGGAAGGCCCCTAAACCCTGAACCCGACCAATGCCTTTCCCCAAGTACAGCCCGAATCAGCGTCGGGGTTAGATTTTTCGGCTCAAGCTCTGAGGTTCAGGAACCCTAAACCCTAAATCCTCACCGAACCCTAAACCAAAAATCCTGAACCCGAAGCTCTAAACCCTATATAAATCCTAAACCCTTCACCGGATTGCGGTCCATAAGCCGCGTTTCTCAACTTTCTCAGTCCAACTTTAAGGATCATGGGACTTAGTAACTAGCGTTATAATTAGGGTAACTCTACTCATAACTACTTACAACCCCAGACTTCATCGCATCGAATGAAAATGACTTATGACCCCAATTCAGGTACCCATAACCTTACTTACTAAGTCCCATGATCCTCCAAGACTCGAGATGTGAAGACTCAACCCCCTGCCCTTCTGACCCCTCCCCCGCCCCCCCAAGGGAACCCTCGAAGGGTTGGGCGTGCGTCCGGAATTCAAACCCAGGGAGCCCAATATCCCCAAATTAAGGAATAAAGCTGAAATCATAACATGAAGCCCTGCATAATTTAAGCCATATTCCTTCGTTAAGGAGTATTGGGCTCTCTGGGAAACACTACCGTTCATGGACGTCCGAAGAGTTAGTAGAGTACCTACAGTAGTAGAGTGGTCGTCTTCGAGATCCCCTTCTTTATAAGGGGGTTATCCCATGTCCCTATCCTAATTTTTGCTTATGTGCTTTTTGGGGACCCTACCGAAACCCCACTACAGTTATTGAGGCTCATAGAACTTTCCAGCAAACGTTACGAAACCCCATCGTTCCTTGCGAAAGCCTGTTTTAGTTCTGAAGTCCCCACATGTCACACCCTGCTCTGCAAGGAGCTCCTGCTGAACGAGTTGAGGGCGACCGCCTTTACCGGAATCTCAGGCCACAAAGCTTAAGCTGAACAAATGGGGGGTTTAATACAAACCTTAAACCCTAAACCCCTAAACCCCGTACTCTAAACCCCTGAACCCACGGTTCGGAGCTCTACGGAACTCCGCATCGCGAGGCTTAACGTCGTTTTTCCTGAAGCTTCGCCTAGTGTCGGAAATCGAAAGCCCATAAACCCTACAGGTCGTGGATACAAAGATTTTCGAGAATGAAACTGGGAAAGTCCAGCATGGAAAACTCTCAACAACACCTTAGGATTTAGGTCTTAGGGTTTAGGGTGCGCCAAGAACTGGTTGTTTCTTCCTGGTTAGTTGTCGTCTTGATTAAGAACCCTAAACCCTAAACTTAAAACCTACAGCCTAAACCCCGGCAGTGCCTCAGTAAAAAAATCGCAGTGTTGGGTTTTCTCCCAGGAGCCTTGACAAGAAGAGCCCACGCGTTTCGGGTCCGCTTGGAGGGGCCACATCCCTCATCATTTGTTGGCCTTTTGTTCTGCCCAGGTTTTTTGGAGTCAAAAACCTTTATCCCCAAACCACAAACCCTAAACCCCTAAACCCTATAAACCCCAAGCCCTAAACCCGGAACCGCAGAGCCCAACCTCTAGACCCTCAATTCTGACTGCTTGGGTGCCCTACTCCTGCTGTTATGTTTGAGCCCTATGTAAGACCTGACATCCGGGACTCTCCATCCAGAAAAGGCCACCTAAACCTGAACTCAAAGTAGAGCTACCTCAGGGTCTTGCACCGCCCACGGTTTGAGGATTTTGAGGTCTCATGGACGCCACAATATGCAAGAGGATCTAGTTTTCGGTTGAGGGTTCACGGCTTAGACTTCTAGGTGCCCACGTCTGTGTCATTGGAGCCGGTTTGGGGCAGCTTGGTCACACTGCGTCTAGGCTTTCTTACTCAGAGATCGGAGTCCAGAAGCTTACACTTTCAGCTCGGTGTTGTTCATATTCTCCATGTTCCTATAGAGGTAGCCTTTCATCCATACCCTAAACCCCAAACCCTAAACCCTCGTAAGGTACACGCCCCCCAAGTACACAGGCACTATCGGCTTCAACGAGAACGGCGACCGCCTTGCATCTTACGAACTCCTCGTGAATGAGCCTGTGACGGACGCCTGTCGGTTTAAGGGTTTAGGGTTTAGGGTTTAGGGTTTAGGGTTAGGGTTTAGGGGTTTAGGGTTTTGGAGTTTAGGGTTTTGGGGTTTAGTGTTAAGGGGTTTAGGCTTTAGGGTTTAGGATTGCAGGGTTGTCAGGTCTCAGTTCTCTATGCTCCTTCCGCACTAAGCCCGTAAAACCTCAGCCCGAAATCTATTGGTTCCTTGGTCAGGATGTGTTGGTGTTTGATGTTTGTTGTCTGGTGTTTGTTGTTTGGTGTATGTTTCGTGTTGGTCGTAGTGTGTTGTATGCTGTGTGTTGTGTATTGTTCGCTGCTTGCTACGGCTACTGCTGCTACTGCTACTGCTACTGCTGCTACTACTCCTCCTCCTCCTCCTCCTCCTCCTCCTACTACTACTACTACTACTACTACTACTACTTCTTCTGCTACTACTTCTACTACTACTACCACTACTACTACTACTACTACTACTACTACTACTACTACTACTACTACCACTACTACTACTACTACTACTACTACTACTACTACTACTACTACTACTACTACTACTACTACTACTACTACTACTACTACTACTACTACTACTACTACTGGTATTTTTGGTATCATCATTGTTTTCATAGGTTGTCATTGCGTTTGTGTCCCGTTATGTTTGTCTGTTGTCAGGGAATGTCGGAAGCTACAAGCTTCGTCTTGGCTTAGCATTTTCCGTGTCGGGTTTCCGGGTGTTGCAGTTTAGCCAGGCAAGCCTTTCAACTTAAGCCAAGGATCCATAGTAGTTCCGATTTGAGGTTAATAATTAACATCCTATCAGGTAATCCCAAAAGGAACTACTATGGAGCCTCTGGGTGCGTGCATGCACTTTCAATTCATGACATGCAGGGGGGCTTCTGACGACGTACTGTCAGGGAAACTCATGAAACACACCCAAATCAAGCAAGAACACCCAAACACTATCACTCTTCCGCTGGAGTCCGTGAGACCAGACTCGCAGATTTTAGTTGCCTTCGATTGGGAGTGGTTAATGCCCCAAAACCCTAAGCCTGTTGGGGTTTCTATCCTACGAGCACCCCCAAAGCATCTCTCACCTGGTCAAGTGCAGTTACACCCCTAAGCCGTAAGCCCTGTTCAAAGACTGGCCACCATATGCGTTATCTACCTATCCGTCTGTCTGTTTGTCTGTCAATTCATTAGCTACCCATCTATCCGTATGTATGCACAACCCAACGGCCAAACACATGCATGCTCGAAACACAGACAGCCTCGTTGACATTATCGTAGCCTAAGTAGGCCTTTGGGACATTGTACATTTTCCCCCTTACTGGGCTTGATTGGACTCTATTTACGAATAACTTTCAGAGGCTTTAAAGGGCCAACCTACGGTTGATGATATAAATCCTGCATTACCCACAATAAGGAACATACCATAATTCCCATAGTTTAGGTCCTTAAGGCAATGCAGGATCTATATCATCAACCGTAGGACCCTGTTTACGAATATTTTTGAGAGGCTTTAAAGGGCCAACCTAGTAGCCTAAGTTGCGACACCCGAAAGGGTCTCCGCCTGCCTTAGCATCCTGACTGTTGTAATCAAAGAGGAAAACGAGGGACCCTTAATGGGGACCCGGACTTTATAATGGGCTATATAATGGGTATATAGTACCTATATTAAGGGTATATACCTAGGGGGTCTTTATTAAGAGTCCCTCCTTTTACCCTTGGATATAAGGCTCTTACAAGCTTTGCTGAAACAAAAGCTCTGAAACCATCTGGGACCCGACGGCCCTAATCCGTAGATACGCGGTTAAGGGTTTAGGGTTTAGGGTTTAGGGTTTAGGGTACCCTGAAGCATAAACCCTAAAACCATCTAAAACCCCAAGGCCCTAGTCCGTAATATAGGGGCCGAAATAATGACCAACACTATTTTGAGGGGTTCCTATTCTAATTATGAAGGCCCCTATATTATAGTAGACTTGTAGTAGTAGCCCTTCTAGTAACCCTTATAGGACCCTTTTAAGAGAATCCTTTAAAGGAGCCCTATGAACCATCTAAAGCCCCCAAGGCCCTAAGCCGCAGGAGGGCACAACGAATCCGACGAACTTGGTGGTGGGAGCGGTTTTCGATGCCAGCACTGGGGAGCTGACTGTCAGCCGGGGAGCTCAGGGGGGTCTCGAGGGGTCCATGTGCTCAGACCCTTAGGGTCTAAAGGACCCGATATTGGGGGTTAGGATAGCAGTTATGTAGGTTACTGTTTTGGAGAGTATATGATTATTAGGTACTGGGACCCTTAGGGAAATAGGGTTCCTTGAAGGGGTTCCGATAATGGTTCTATAGGGGTTTCTTTAAGGGTTCTAGAAGGGCTTTAGGGTTTAGGGTTTCAGGGGTCCGCGTCCCAAACAGTATATACTTTAGGCTTAATGTACCTATATGGGGAGTGCGATAAGGCCAAAGTATATTCTATTTGGGTACATGGGCCCTTAGTATGCTTTAAGGCTTTTTTAAATGCTCCTGCATACAGCTCCTTTAAAGGTTTCTGGAAGAAGCCGTTGAGCTGTGGCTTACTTAAAGGATCATGGGACTTAGTAAGTCAGGTTTTAAGTAGCTTCATTGGGTTTTTAGGAGAGCACGGGGGCACCTGTGTTCAAAAGATGCAGGCTGCGTAGATGGCTGAGATGCACCCGTTGTGTGCATAAGCGGCTGCGTCGGAGGGCCGTGCGTGGCACCGTGCCCGAAACCTCAATGTTCTAAGATGAACCACCTGAATCATCAACCCACGTCAGCCGTTTCCTAGGTAGTACTAGGGAGACCCCTTAAAGGGAACCCTTCTTAACTGGCTCTCTTAAAAATGGGACCTCCCTTCCCTGAGAGGCTCTGCATTCCCAAGAGTCGCCCAAATCCTTTCCCGTACAGTTGCCCCTCGACACTGAGCTTAGATCCCTCTCCTGCCTCGCACAGCGGTTTAGGGGGTTTGGAGTTTAGGGGTTCAGGGTTCAGGGTTTTGAGGTTTCGGGTTTTGAGATTTAGGGATTAGGGTTGAGGGTTTAGAACCTTGAACCTCTTTTGATTCAAGGCCTCAGCTCTAAATCGCCAAAACCCAGGGACCTGTTCAAGCCTTGGAGCTCGACTTCTGAATAATTTGTTCCATAAGGTGCTGCGCATACTTATAGTCTATACTTACAGGTTCACAGACGAACATACCCCACAATATCGTTCTAAGTAGAAGTAAGTGTGACTCTGTAAAAACATACCCCGCAAATCCTGTCCTTATCAGCAAGGCCACTATGTTCAGGTAGGAACCTGATGAAGAAAACCTGGGCCCATAACCCCAAATAGTAGGGTTTATATAAGGCACCCTGATAAAGGCCCAAGGTTTCTTAATCAGGTTCCTACATTATGGACACTTCGAAGTCAACAACGCCGTTCCGAGGCCAAGACTTGTATTGGATGGACGGGCAGAGGGGGGCCATGCCTCCCGCTGAGCTGACGAACTGCGACCCGGGCTTCTACAAGGACAGGTCAACCGTCAACCCCATAAGCCCCCAAACCACCTAACGTCGACACCGAAACCCTCAATCAATCAGACAAACAGAACTAACATGAGGGTTTTTGTCGTGTATTTTGGCTCCTTGTTGGTGTCTGTATGTTTGGGATTTAGTTACGGGGTCGTGGATGCTGGTAACAGTTACCCCGGGTTGGGGTCTTCGTGAACCTCGTGCTTCCGGATACTGCCGTGATCTGTGAGTTTACAATGCCTATAATGCCCAGTAGTACCCTTATTCCCTTTTTGTAGTCCTAGGTTCCTTATAAAGTTACCCGATACCAAAAGAGAGGCCTTTTCATTCTTAGGTTACTGGGTATCCTAGATGCTGCGGAGAGTGCTCTGAGCTCAGGGCAGTGATAAAAGAACAGAGGACTGGACGTTCAGTAGTAGTGCCACCGTTAAATTCCAAAAACAAGTTTATTAAACTGCACACCCCAAACCCTATTCCAAGGTCCCCATTGACGAGTTGTAGACTTAAAAAATTATCATTTCCTTCGGCAAATTGACAATATGGCTGCGCAGAGTTTTGGGTGAGAGGGAAGCCTTCTGCTGATATTTTACAGGGTCTTTGCAACACACGTGCCCTGCCCATAGGCCCCATAGTAGTTCCTTTTTGGGGGTTCATATGTACAATGCTATAAGGTAATCCCAAAAAGGGAACTACTATGCGGCCTATGGGTAATCCTACACCCTAAATCAATAACCCGAAACCCTAAACACTAAATCCTAAGCCGTGAAGCTCTGCTTGGAAGGGCAGGGGACTTAGTATGTAGGTTATAAGTAGAGTTATAAGTACCCTAAATGGGGTTACCACAATTATAACCCTACTTATGAACGACTTACTAAGTCCCCTGCCCCTCCAAGTGGACCGACGCTTTCGCAGGAGCCGGCGTCCCGGCAGTGCAAGCCCTGCCCGCTAGGCTGGCGCAATCACCCAGAGGGTCCAAGTACCCAAATAGTAGGGTTTCAGGTCCCAAATTCCATACTCTTTGGACCTTGAAACTCTACTATTTGGGTACTTGGACCCTTAGGGTCAGGGCTTTAGAGATTTTACGGGCGTCTAGGGTTTAGGGTTTCGGGATGTTAGGTTTATACTAAGGCTCCATAGTAATTCCTTTTGGGGATCATATTTAGAATCACATAATTAAGGTAATCCCAAAAGGGAACTCTTATGGAGCCTCTGGGTAGTGGTCTAGGGTTTAGTTAGATATTGGAACTCAGGCTTCCGAGTTTTGGGTTTAGGGTTCAAGGCTTCGGGTCTAACTTTCGGGGTCTAGCATTGTGAGGATGCGGGTGTAGGAGTGTAAGAGGCTTCAGCGTTTAGGGGTTTGGGGTTTTTGGGTTTTGGGTTTATAGTTTAGGGGCTTCGGGTCTAGTGGTTTAGGGTTTAGGCTTCGGGCTCGAAAGTTGAATATCTAGGATCACGGTTCCCTGAACCGTGAATCTGGGAGTTTCCGAAAGCAAGGGATGCCCTATCTTGGGGTCCTTATCATGAGGATCCTACTATTTAGGGTACTAAATTCGGGTCCCCTTCTTGCGGAAACCCCCGTAGAGTAGCCGCAGTAATTAGCAAGAAGATCCCTTCAGAAAGCCGCAATTATCATATAGTGAGCCCCGAAATCCTGTTCCAATGACGAAGCCCTCGACATCCCAGCAGTTATACGGTGTTTCTTCTCTGTCCCCTTCTGAAAGGGGGGGTGATAGAGGGACATCGCAAAGGGCTAGCAAAAGGAAGCCTTCCGAAGTGGAGATTATTCCGACCCCGCATTGTGCGCGTTCGACGTGTGGCTTGGCCGATCAGGGCCCAGAGAGCCCAATACCCCTTAATCAAGGAATATGGCTTAGGTGATATACTTGTAGGGCTTCATACTATGATTTACTTAATTTATTGGGCTCTCTGGTGGTGGTCCTAATTTAGGACAAGCTGCACGAGGGAGCGATCCGGATGAGATCAGTCGAACAGTCAGGCCCTTGGCTTCAACGCTTCGGCGTAAAGCCGAAGCCAGAGCCCTTGAGGCAGAGACTCCAATATCCCTTAATTAAGGAATACTCCTGAAATTATATTAGGATCCCTAATATGATTTAAGGCATATTCCTCAACCAAGGGATATTGGAGTCTCTGGGGAGGCAACGCTGCCCGGCTCTGCTTAAAGGATCATGGGACTTGGTGACTAGGGTTATAATTGGGGTCACTCTACTTATCACTACTTATAATCCCGATTAAGGTACTTATAACCTTACTTACTAAGTCCCATGATCCTCCAAGTGGTACGGTTGCTCCAAGAGAGGGAGGTGGCTTCGAGCGCCCTGAGCCTCAAACCGCATTGGGGAGGAAATGGTGGCAGCGAAGACCTTGAAGCGTCGTCTCAAGGGAGCTGCGTTGGAAGAGGCCACGGATGCAAATGAGGGGGAACGAACGTCTACAGACTACACGGAATTACAATACAGTGCTATGTGTCCCAGGTGTTCAACCAGCGGCAACACCTCACTGTAAAGTGGACTTGAAGCCCTAAACTCCCTAAACCCTAAACCCGCAAGCCACCCACAGCCTCAGCCCTAAACTCCCATATCGGTCTGAAGCCTGCAGCCCTAAGATCTGAACCCTGGAATCCCGGAACCTTAAATCCTAAAGCCTAACAGGGCTCTGGGGTAGATTATGCTATGGACTTCCGTGGGCTTTTCATTTTGGGAATCACACCTCCCCCGAGTTTTTTTGCCTTTCCCGTGGTTTAGGCCTATTTGGCTAAGGGTTCAGGAAACAGACCCTTGAAACGGGCAGTTTAGGGTTCAGGACATAAAGCGTTAGGTCTTCTATTCCGGGACACTCATGCAAGACTCACACTAAAGCCCTGATCCCTAAGCCCAAATGCTGAATCCTGGACTTCAAGCGTTAATGCCCGCACCTTAGGCCCTAATTCCTGCACCTATATAGTCTCCATTGCAGCTCTTTTTCGGGGGTCACCTTTGTAGGATCCTACATATAAAATTATAAAATGGCTTAAATCAAAAAGAGGAACTACCCTCGAGACTATGGGTAGACCCTTATAGAAACCTCATGGTACCCCTTATAGTAACCCTGAAAGGAACCTCATAGTAACCCTTAAAGAAACCTCGCACCCTAAACCCCCTAAACCCTAAACCCTAAACCCTAAACCCTGAACCCTAAACCCTAAACCCTAAACCCGAGCTTAAGCTCTTTTTCCTCGGATCTCTCGACTCTAAGTGCACCGACGAGATCCCCAAGACGATGCGCAATTCTTAGGCTTTAGGCTTTAGGCTTTGGGGTACAGGGTTTAGGGTTTAGGGTTCATACCCTCCCTTATAAGGTTCTTATCATAAACCAGCGAATATAAAAACTCCATATTCGGGATCCGACATAAAAGATAGGTTGTGGTAACTTCAGGTAGAACGAGAATCAACCTGCAGCTGCAGGAGCGCTAAACCCCATATCGTACATAACCTGACAGTAGCTCGTCTGGGCTCAGAGATAGCTGGAGCTTTCCGGGTTGCTTCGATAACTTCAGAGCGAGGTTTGACTATTTCGGGGCTTCGATGAATTCGAGCCTTGGGCCATCATTCCTACAGCATCAGAGCGAGTAAGACAACACCCCAACCCGAAGTCGTGCATTCTGCTTGCTTTCATATCGGGTGTCGAAACCGTAAACCGTGTGAGGCTTCTACTGCTGGGGTGGCACGCAGCCGAACCGCCAGTGTGCCCGCGGAGCTTTCGCGAACGTAACTGGCATGACGCTGGTCTGTCACTGGGAAGGGGGTCTAGAGGATTTAAGGTTTAAGGTTTTGGGGTTTAGGGTTTTGGGGTTTAGGGTTTAGGGTATTTAGGGTTTTGGGGTTTTGGGTTTAGGGTATATAGGGTTTGGGGTTTTGGGGTTTTGGGTTTAGGGTATTTAGGGTTTAGGGTTGAAGGGGGGTCTAGTTCATCATTCGGGGGTTTACCCCAAACATTAAAACAGCATCGAGGTTATGACGGGTTTTCGACGAGGTTGCGGAGTGTGATGTAGTAACCTGATTAAGAAACCCTGGCCCTATAACCCCAAAATAGTCGGATTCATATATGGAACCCTACTAAAGGCCCAAGGTGTCTTCATGAGGTTCCTACCCAGACCCCCGGGAGGCTCTAGAAAGTAGATCCCCTAATTTAGGGCCCTATACTACTAAGGGTGCTTTATAGGAACCCCCATTAACGGATCTACTTTTTGGATCCTCCCGGGGGTCTGGGTACATGAGGCGGAGGGGGATTGCTGTGTGTATGAATTGGAGTGCTTGGGATGGGTAGCTATGTGTAGGATGACAAGTAGGATAACTATGGTTATGGCCTATTTCTTATATAGTGAACGGGCGAACTTTAAGCTTTTTGGCCGTATATATTAGCTCTATCTTAGAAAGCTTGAACTTTTTGGGGCCCGGTTGTTGAAGAAGAGAGATATTAGGGGACTCATAACCCCGCTTAGAACTACCCATGAACCTCAAAGTATAGCTACCCCAGACCCCCGCGGGAGGATCCAAAAAGTAGATCCCTTAATGGGGGTTCCTATAAAGTACCCTTAGTAGTATAGGGCCCCAAATTAGGGATCTACTTTCTAGAGCCTCCCGGGGGTCTGGGACACTGGACCGAACGTAACCCTAAACCCTAAACCCTAAACCCTAAACCCTAAACCCTAAACCCTGGACCGAACGTATCCTAAAGTTTGGGTACATGGACCCTCAGAGACTGCGAAACCCGAGGCTCCCAGGCTTTGAAACTCCCCAAAGCCTCGAGCTCCTAGGGAATGGGGTTCCTTTAAGGTTTAGGGTTTAGGGTTTAGGGTTTAGGGTTTAGGGTTAAAGGGTCATGGGACTTAGTAACTAGGGTTACAATTAGGGCAACTCTACTTATAACTACTTATAAATCCAATTAAGGTATTTATAACCTTACTTACTAAGTCCCATGATCCTCCAAGTATGGGTTATACTATAGGGGTTCGGGGTTCTTAGTAGACTGTCTGGTGCTTAGTAGGGAATGGTGGAATGGATTATGGAGACGGCTATTGGGGATTATACGGACTACTAGAGGGATCCTTTCCAAATATTCCCTACTGAGCACCAGACAGTCCAGCCCTAAGCCCCCTAAACCCTAAACCCCCAAACCCCTGAACCCTAAACCTCTAAACCCCTAAACATTATAGATCCCTTTAAAGGAGTCCTAAATCCTAAACCCCAAAGAGCCAGACAAGGCCGCAAACCCCGAACCCACCACACTTGTCTCCTGATCCCGGAGCCTACCCAATCTTGAAGCCGTAAATATTAAAGTTCCTCAAGGCCTATAGGCCTTAAAGAAAGACCATGGGGCTGAGAGTTTAGGTTTAGGGAGTTTGGGGTTTAGGGTCTAGTTTTGGGGTGTTTGAGGTTTAGGGTTTAGGGTATTTTGAACCCTAAGATCTAGGCCCAAAGCCCCAAACCCTGTCCTTATAGTAACCATAGTAACCCCTATAGATCCCTTTAAAGGAACCCTTATAGTAATCCCTATAGATCCCTTTAAAGGGTCCCCTGTCTATCCCAGGGTGAACTGCACTCTCTGCCCCTTTGGCAGCTTCGCCGCAGAGGTGCCTCGGTTGGCGTTGGCATCTCGGGGAGTCTAGGACCAACAAGCCCTACCCAGACCCCCGGGAGGATCCAAAAAGTAGATCCCTTAATGGGGGTTCCTAGAAAGTACCCTTAGTAGTATAGGGCCCCAAATTAGGGATCTACTTTCTAGAGCCTCCCGGGGGTCTGGGGAGTTTAGGACCAACAAGCCCTACTTGAAGGTTCATGTAAGTCCCCTGATACGGGTTATAACCGTACTTATGCTACTTCTAACCCTACTGATTGCCCATGGACCTCCAAGTAGGGCTCCACTCATGATTAAGGGTCAAGGGTTTCTGGTTTTAGGGCTTTAGGCTAAACGGTTTGGCGATAATTAACAGCTGTCTTGGAGGAGATGTGTTGCCTGTCATGTGCATTGCATACGCTTCAGCTGCCAAATATTGGGAGGGAGCCAGGCGAATCTCTTAACAGTGTCCTTCCTGCATGTATCACTGCGATGAAACTGCAATCGACAAGCCTCCCATGCACGCCGCACGCGATGGCTTATGAGTTCAGGGGTTTAGGGTTCAGTTCAGTGGCATCAAAACCTGAAGATCCGTTTCGAAGGTCCGGTCAGGGCGAGGCTCAAGTGTCCAGATGTGCGATCGTTTGTTTAAAGCACGCTCGTTCCACTTGCTCCGTGACGTGCGCGGGCCGACCTCAAAGATAGTTTACCTAGACCCCCCAACTACCCTCCAATGTACCCCAAATAACCACTATTAAGGGCCATAAGGACTCCATTAAAGGGCCCTTGGGGGGTTCTTGTAATCTGTCGCGAATCCGTCAAGTTTTGTTTTGCGGTTTTGAAACGAATCCCTAAACCCTAAACCCAAACTACGTAGCCTCAACCCTAAACCCTAAGCTCTTCTTCACAGGTTCAGGTGTGAGTCTGACAGGATGCCTGTTTGACCTGTATGTTTCCTGGTTGCGGCATTCCGGCGTTCGACGCAGGGGCTTCCACCAGCCCTGTTTGATGCCTAGTAGCTGAGTACCCTTTTGGGGCTTATATAATCCTACCTTTATTGAAAAGGTAACCTTTTTGGTCTAGGGTACTCAGCCCCTAAGGGTGAATTCTTTCGTCGCCGCTTCAAAAATTATGCCACGAACTCGAGGAGCTTCCCTAACATCTGCACCCCAAACCTTATTTATAAGCTCTCAACCCAGACCCCCGGGAGGATCCAAAAAGTAGATCCCTTAATGGGGGTTCCTATAAAGTACCCTTGGTAGTATAGGGCCCCAAATAGGGGATCTACTTTCTAGATCCTCCCGAAATCTGGGAACCTGAACCCACGCCCTAAACCCTATCAGCTCTAAATGCACAGACAGCCCTTGGCCTTCATCCCAACCCTAAACCCTAAACCCGAACCCTAAACCATCCAAAACTCTAAATCCTGAAGTTTCAAGATCTCTCAACGGCTTTGCGGGGAGGTCGGCTCTGCTTCATGCAGCGCTTGCCTATCAGGTGCGCTTGAAGTGTTTAGGGTTGGGGTTTAGGCTTTAGGGCCTTAGGATTGAAAGCTTTGAGATGAGATTCTGAAGGCCTTTTGAGCGCGGTTGTGCTTAACGGAAGCAGGTCGAGATGAGTGTTCATCGCGGCACAAGTCTGTGAGCTTGAACTGTCATGTTTTCCCTGTTCTTAGTTCAGCACAGCCATCACTCACTTCCTCAGCGTCTCTGACCGGACCTGCAGCAGTTTGGCTCTGTCCTTTAAGCCGATCGCTTGTGCTTCGCGACAGTTAGGGTTGAGGGTTTAGGGGCACCCTAAACCCTAAATCCTAAACCCTAAACCCCAAACCGTGGAACTGTGGAGATGTGTACAAGATGGCTCCGCTCGAGAGTGTGCTGCCGGCTTCTGCCCAAGGTGGGTGGTTGTCGAAATTATGGTCCTTTTGGGGCCCTATTATAAGACGGCACCGATTATTTGGGGTACCCAAAAAGGGACCCTAATTTTGACAACCACTCAGGTATGGCCCAAGTACAACCTCGACAAAGGAGAGCAACGGCTCCTGAGTAGCTGAGTTGGTAACCTTCAAGGGATCTACAAGGGTAGTATTAAGGATTCTATGGGGCTTTAGGGATTACCTTTCACCATTGGGGTTTATGTAAGCCTAAAAAACAATTGAAGAGGTTAACTTTTTGCGGGCTAGTGTATTCAGCCCCTAAGGCTTGCTATTCTTTGCACTGCTGTCTACCTGCTCGTTGCAGCACTCTGGGGCTGGGATCAATACCGGATGGTCACGTATTCCAGGGAACATCCAACTTTCAGCTACAGTGAGGGATCTTTCATCGACGAGGTGATGCCAGAGTTCAACATTACAATCATTCCTCTCACCAACTTCAACAGAAGAAAGTACGATTGTCACATGGGCAGGTCTCAGTTTCAAATCTACTTCGTTGGCGGCAATCGAAGTGTTTACATTGATACAGACCAACTCCCCATAGACCACTTGAAATGGCACGATTTTGGCGGGGATTCCATCCAAACAGGGCTCTATTACACAGTCCTGCCCATACCATTCCGCTTCGCTTTCCGGAAGAGGTCGACTGGGGCCGTGGAAAGCTACCAAATACTGAATGATTGGTGGCTAGAAGGCCAGAAGTGCCTGAATGGCTCCTTCCAGCCTACAAAGTGCCCTAGAGAATCCTCGCGGGTGGACTTCTACTACACCTTTCATGAGAATGTCGAGAACGACTCTGCGCATTGCGTGCCGGACATTCGCGATCTCTTCTTGACCTCAGCTGACGCAAGTGAGGTGCTTCAGAAGGCCTGGGTTCGGACTACCACACTGTTGATCCTTAAAGGGCTTTGTAAAGGGATTTATAGGGTTCCTTAAAAAGGGATCTACAGGGTTTAGGGTTTAGGGTCTACTTGGAGGATCATGGGACTTAGTAAGTAAGGTTATAAGTACCTTAATTGGGATTATAAGTAGTTATAAGTAGAGTGACCCTAATTATAACCCTAGTTACTAAGTCCCATGACCCTTTAAGTACCATGCTTGAATACTTGTTGGGGGTATCTGTTCCTTAAAGGAGCCATTATGAAATAAAAGTCTATACTTTTTTCTTCCCGGTTACTTCAAAGTCCAGAAGGCTACTGCTTCAATGACCTTTGATTTGGTCGCCTCTCCAGGGAGCATCGTGCCGATTCTTGCCAGGTCCTTCAGGGGTGGGATGTTCATCCCGGCAAATCCTACACCTGATAGAGGGTGCCGCACCGTTTTGCCAGTGTCAAGTGTCGAGACGAACAGGTTTGGCAAAGTAACACATCGAACGGAGTTTGAAGACTCGATGCACGCGATTGTTCAGGGCCTGTCATTTGAACCAGTGGAAGGCTTTTGTGGCATGACATTGATCCCTCTGACAAAGAAGACGGCCACGTACTACGCGCCGTACGGCCCACTGGACGCACTGACCCATTGGTTCACGGTCATGCACGCATGCTTAGCAGTCGTCTTCTGCCTTTTCAAGTCTTCGCCAATGGTTCCCTATTACTACAGACAGGGGCGGTGGGCCGGCGCCTACAGAAAGCTACTTGACGGTGCTGCACAGCGTGATCTCGAGCTCCAGGGCATTGAAGATCCTGGCCACATGACTGCTCCCGGGCTCCTCTTGTCAGAGACATCGGAGACCCCAGCCTAGTAAAGGACGTTATAGGGTTTAGGGCTCAGGGGCTTGGTTTAAAGTAGGCGTTGGACAGATCGCCCGCTGGAAAATCACTCTTGGGGCCGGCTGTTCCTAGCTCGCTGTGCTCCCCCGGTCCAACCAGGCCTGCAGAATGGGAGCCCCAGTGCGTCGTCAGGGTTTGTTCAGGTCTAAACCCTAAACCCTAAACCGTACAATGCCCCTGCAACGAGCTTTGGGTTGGTTTCTGCGACTCGGGTTCAGGAGGAGGTTCACCTTTAGGGTTTAGGGTTTAGGTTCACCTTGTGGGCTCTGGTGGTTGGGTTTTTATGGTCGGAGAAATTAGTATATAACACTATTTCTTAGGGTTCGTTGTTGTAACGACAATGCACAAGACCCCAAATCCTGTTCTGCCTGTTGAGGCCTCGTATATATTGAAGGGTTTCGAAGGCAAAGGTTCGGCGTTCCGCCTATTAGCATCCCCCCAAAAGAGCTTCTCGTTGGACGGTATAGTACCAATATAACATCGTGCCATAACGTGTGCCGAAACCCGTGGATTCTTCAGATTTCTATATACTAGTCCGTGGGGATTTTATGCGCAGGTGGGGGGTACCCTAAACCCCAAACCCTCAACCCTAAACCCTAAACCCTAAACCCTGAACCCAAACCCTAAACCCTAAACCCTAAACCCAAACCCTAAACCCTAAACCCTATGCAATTCAGTTTTCAGGTTCTGGGCTTCTGGAGCTCTGGCCATTCTTGTAGCCCCCATTCAAGACGGCCCACCGTATCCCAGCACCCAGGGCACAAAACACAACAGAGAATCCAAGGACCTAGCTAGATGTTAAGACCCTAAACCCTAAACCCTGAACCCTAGCAGACCTGGTTTGCAGTCATCAACAAAGGAGTTCGAAAAAAGCACTGAACCCTAAACCCTGAACCCCTAAACCTCGCATAGGGAACTGCCAAGGGTTTCAGGCTCAAGGTCTTCCGAAGTACCATTCATACGGTTGATGATATAGATCCTGCATTATATACCCATAATCAGGAATGTACCATAATTCCCATAGTCTACGGTTAATGCAGGATTTACATCATCAACGGTACTAATGCTGAAGAGGCAGAGAGACCGGGTGCACTTATCCCTGAGGGGCCGTGTACCCACATAGTACAGACTTTGGCTTTAAGGTACTCCCTACATAATATACTATTCGGGTACACGGACACTTAGGGTATGCTTCGCAAGATTTCCGATCTTGTTTATTTGCCTGCAAAGTTGTCTCATTAGAGAATGCAGCAGTCACTGTTGAACGAGTGGGTCGGCCTTTATCACAGGCTATCTGCACATCATACTAGACCCTGAACCCCAAACCCTAAACCCCTGCACCCTAAACTGTAAACTCAAAACCCTAAACCCTGAACCCCAAAGGCCACTCCAGCAGGTGCTGAGGCTGACCTTCAACCGTGCGGGTCTGCAAAGCCCAAACCCTAAGCGTCCTAAACCCTTCTTGGAGGTTCATGGGTAGCTATAAGTAGGATAACTATGGTTATAACCTCTATTAGGGACTTACAACCCCACGTATACTACGAAGCCCAAAACCCCTATAAAGCCTAAACCCTAAACCAGCCTAAGCCCTAAACCCTAAGCCCTGAACCCTAAACCCCTTCATAGAACCCTTATAGATCCCTTTAAGGAACCTTTATGGATCCCTTTAAAGGCACCCTACAGTAAACCCCATAAAGTTGGAAACCGGATTAAGGCCAAAATATGGGGGGGTTCCCTATGCATTACTCTTAATTAAGGATTGAGGCTATGGGGTTTCCAACTTTTTGGCTTCTAATGTAAAGGCACCCTAAGCCCTAAAGTCGCGGACTCCAGGCTTCTACTCGGATGAGTTGGGGCTGGAGGTCTGCTGGGACACGTCGGGTCGTTGAGCTTTTGGGGATTAGGGTTTAGGGTTCCGATTCCTGACAAGGGATCCAACAAGGTTCCCTCAAAGGATCTAAAAGGGTTCTATGAGGGGTGCATGGGTTCAGGGTTGAGGTTTAGGGCTTATTGTTTTCTATGAACTCCGGTTTCGCATCTTCCTTTTAGTTTAGTCTTCGTGGAACCCTGCCAGGGGTTTGTACGGCTTTTGTAGGGCGTCATAGGTGTCCGGGGGTCGGAGGACAGAGACCCAGTAGAGGACCCAGTACTTAGATAGTGAACGGGGGAGCTTTAAACTTTTTGGCCTTACATATTATCTCTATATATCTCTATCTTAGAGAGTTTGAACTTTTGGGGGCCCGGTTGTTGAAGAAGAGAGAGCAGCAAGTTTGTAAGAAGGGCAGCCCATCCCAAAACCCAAGTCCGGAGGCGGGTTCAGGGTCCAGGGTTCCCGCAGTTTGCGGGGGCTTGTAATTCTGTACGTTACGGGAAGCAACTAAAGCAGAGGAAGAGTGGGTTCCAGTAGCCTGCAGAGTTTTCGAATCTTCCGTTTAAAACATGTGGGTTTCGAGTTATTGGCTTGGCTTTGGGCCTGCAATCCTAGATTCGCACCGCCAGCCATGGGAGGCTTGCAAGAAATGTCCGAAGGGAACCTACATGGTCAACACCGGCGCCAGCGTGTGCACTCCGTGCCTGGCATGGCTTGAGCCTGGCTTTCCACTGTTCATAGGAACCCTTAGGGTAGGGGGCCTTAATGCCCATAAGAAGGACCCAATAAGGCCTATTTAAGGGAGTAAAGTCCCCTACCCCCCTCCCCCTTACCCCCCTATGGGTCCCTATGAACTGCACGATTCACATCTGTGTGTTTTGCTTTGCAGATTTTGGTTTGGGGCCTCGGTTTAGGCTAAGTTTAGGGTTTGGGCGTTTACAAACAGTTGCAGAGCTAAGGCTAGGCGGCATTGGCCAAGAACTTCCAAGGGCTTGCATGCATAAGGACACACGGTCAGGGCCAAAGCTGTCAGCGGATGTACTGAAGAGATCAACTTTGAACCCTCACCTGACATGACACTTTCTTGCTCACTTCCCTGGCAACTTGACTGCGCCCAATGGTGCACAGATTCGCATGAAGTTGAGCTGAATAGTTTTGACGCCAGCCAAACGGTCATAAAGCTCTCACACGAGCTAGAGCACAGCACAGTACATCCCCGGTCCAGCCACGTATCCACCCTTCTGAACTGCCAGCCTAGGTGCGGACTAAACCAAGAGACAGAGGCGCAGCAGTCTGGGGTTTAGGGTTCCGAGGTGGGGTTTTAACTTGGCTCAAAGCCTGAACCCTAAACCCCAGGGTTTGGGGGTCGTATGGGGGTGGTACTAATTATATTAGGGTTCCCAGATTAGTTCTCCCTGTAATGCGGATTCGACTAGTATACAACATGTTTAACAATGACACATCACATGATGATAGTCAGGCGAACCACCGTTGCTTCGCTAAGTTGGACTTGTTAATGCGCTGTTTTTTTGTCTACTCCGTTTTATTCTTTCAGTATACTCTTAGTATCATTATCCCTCTTATTATGACTATGATTCTTAATACTCTTTTTTTGAAGGGGGCGGCGTTCCGCGGAGAACACGATTAAAAGACACTCTGGGGTCTTGCATGAAACTCAAGTTCTTTAGCAAGGCCTCAACCAGGTAAGGTAAGACCACTCGAGCTCCAGAGCTAGGTGTTTTCATGCAAGTGATTGTTACTACTAGCAGTATGATGTGTTCTTTTAAGCTTGGTTTCTCGATTGGGATGACAGCCGCGACTCTCACTGCGAGAACGAATACCGCTACTGTAAACGTTTTCAAAACTAGTATATAATCATGAGATGGTAGGGGTCGAGCAAAATAGCGAAGAAATTATGGTGAGGTTCCCACCCTGAAGGCTAGGAAACTATGTAAAGTAATCGCGTGTTTTGTTTGCGAAGGGTGTGGGTTCCAGGTCCGCATTGCTCAACGTTGCTGTGCCGCATGAAGCTTAAACTAAGGTCGCATTTAACTTCGGGGCACTTAGACACAATTTCAACCTTTGGTTATCATAATCCCGAAGAAGCAGCCAATTAGAATTCTAATTTCTGCCAGGGGTCTAAGTTCAGTACAGCTAAGCCAAAATCATATTTAAAACTCCCAAACCTCAGACCACGGCTGCAAGAACCCGCTGCAGGAGAGCGGTTCTCAGGCGGCAACTGATTGTCGTTGCGCCGAAGGCGAGGTGGATTTTAGTTCACGCGGGAGTTTCTGAAAATTAGGGGTACCTTACTTTGGGGTCCTTAAAATAAGGCTCCTACTATTTAGGGTACGAAATTGGGGTACCCCATTTTCGGAAACTCCCACGTGCTATGCTGTTTCTCTGGATCACTTGACAGTGCTCCTCGTAGCTAGTACATGCTAAGTAGTACTATCAGTACTTTTTCGTTGGGCTGGGTGCCATCACGACTTTCATGCTATCGTTGTTCTGCTGGCAAGCACGAAGGCCAGGAACAGTTATGTCGCAGTAGTGGTGGCAGTAGTAGCAGTAGTAGTTGTGGTCGTCGTTATTGTTTGTATCCTGCAATTTCCAGATGTGCTTCTATGGCCGATTGCCACTACTGCATGCACGACTGCAACTGCTCTGTTGTTTTTCTATCCACAATTGCTTTTGTTCTCTTCATGTCATTCTCACGTTCTTTAGACCATCTTTGCTTCAGGCACTGCAGAGCTAGACTCTCAATCTTCTAACGGTGCTGCGCGCCTTCGATGATTCTGTTTGCTCGCTCTGTCTTTCATATTTTGTCTCTCTCTTTCTCCCTGTGTCGTCCTGCTGCCGCTGCTGCTCTTGTTGCTGTTGCTGCTATTACCAATTGCTAATTACTACTACTGCTGCTACTGCTACTACTACTGCTACTACTACTACTACTACTACTACTACTACTACTACTACTACTACTACTACTACTACTAGCCGCACACGGTAATGGGCATTCAACAAAGAGCAAGCCACCGACGAGCCGACACCTCTACGGGCCCCGGCTGTATCCCAAGCCCCATCCTAAGCCCTAAACCGTAAACC